GCGAAGCATACTAGTGTCGGAGTTGGCACCTTGTTGAAGAGTGCCTTCGAGCTCCTCGATTTCGTTCTGGGTGAGCTTGTCAGAGACTGAGATGATTAGCGCATGCTCTCTTATTGAATAGCAAGTCATATTACCAACCTTCACCAGTGACTGAGTGCAGGAAATCGACACCACCGAAAGTGCCTGTGACAACAGGATAGACGGATTCCCTAGCACCCTCGATCTCAATCTGAGTGTCACGTCCAACGTGAGGGAAGACATCGCGTTCACCCAACTCAATAAGAGCCAGCTCACAGTAGTTGCTGTGAGCAAAGAAATCTGTTTCGCAATCACGTCAGCCTCTGATGTATGGTTCTGGTGCTTGTTGATGTCTGTAGAAGCGAATTGTACTTACCCTCCAGACAGTGTAATCCAGTGCCCATAAGGCGAAGAGCTTCGTACTTGTCTGCCTTTCGACGGGAGTCCTTGTATCGACGAGCAAGCTCAATGGTACCACTAAAGAGCTTCTTGATGTGTTTGGCAGAAGTCATGATTCGTGCACGCTCGTTTGCAATATAGTTCTTCATGCCTGTCTCAGGGTCGATGGACAGCTCTCGTTCTTCATCGATTGGTCCGCGCAGGCGTTCGTCATACTGTCGAGCATCAACGTTCTCAGCGTAGTCCTTGGGGTTGTCGATGTGGTCCTCGGGACGGTAGCAGCCCAGTCGTTCGGCAGTGACCTCAAACTCGCCAGAACCATAACCGAAGGTCATGAAACCGAGAACGCAGAGCAAGAGGCGAATGGCCTCGGCGGAAACAGACTTGACGGTACCGACATCGATGGCCTGAGAATAATCTCGAAGCCAGTTTCCGAAGTAGACACGAGAGACGTTGATTTTGTTAAACTTCTTGCCATTGAGAGCCTGGGCCTGGGACAGGATCAGGAGTGCATCAGTGATATCGCCGTGGCGCCCTTGGAATAAAGTTAGCGGTTGTCGTTTTTTGTCTTGTGTATAAGGAATGACTCACAGTTCTGACCCTCAACCTTGGAAATTGAGGCAATGTTACCAGCTCCGAAGGCAACGGCCGGCGAGGCCAGAGCAACGAGGATAACAAGCCCCACCAGGAGGCTGTGAGATCTGGAAGTGAACATTGTGGTGGTTCGTCTTCAGTGCTGGGAGTAACCCGGCTGGTGTTGTGTTACAAAGACGGTAAAGAAACAAGCCCTTCTGAGCTAGCAGAAGGATACGTAGTGTTGTCAGGTAGTTTGAAGAAAGGAAAAGGAAGAACTTTAGGGAAAATCGACCTCAAGTAAGAAGAGAAGGGAAAAACAGGGAGTCGGTGGAGGATGATGAAGGTGGAGGAGGGGACCTAACTGAGGGGCAACCGTCGATGTCCATTCAGCTAGTGACGCAGCTTCAGCTGCCGACTGCTGTGCTCGCGCTCTCCAGTGACAACCAGATGGTCCGACCAGAGTAAACCAGGCCGAGACACTCGAGCTCACCTTATTTGTCCAGGCCATTTTCAGGATACCAATTGCTACCTCAAACAAGACAAGACAAGCCACCCTCACCTCTTGCAGCGCTAACAGGCCCGGCTGCCTCCTAAGCTGACTCGATTTCAAGATAGCAGCTTTCAACTTGCTAACAAAATCCAGTTTTCCCGGTCGATCAACCGGCAGTCAAGACGTGATCCGCTTGGTTTGCTTCGCGTCGTGCCAAGCATGAAATTATGAAATCATGCGCATCCGCCCAGGGCCCGCAACTTGTTAGAGAATGATCGAGGGGCAGAGGAAGCTTGGGCAAGCTTTACAAGCTGCGACAGGGGTCCAGTACACGATTATTGGGTGTGATCATGCTGTAAACGCAAGTACCTCACCCCTCCATGATGGCAATAGCAAGGGTCTGTGACACGAGTCGATAGGCCCATTGGTTGTCGTCGAATGAAGCTTAACAAGAAACGCGTGGTTGCAGGAATAGCCAAGTTGATCACTGATCAAACATTAGCTATCGAAAGGCGAGAAGCAGGATTCAAATCCGGTAAAGCTCTATCTGAAGACGCCTCTGGGCTTCCCAAACACGATGATACAGTTTTAACTGGCGTCTCGATAACAGTTTCCAGACAGTGACCAAGAAGAAGCATCGGGCCTTCAGCGTGTTTTTCATGGAGCTGTACTGAGGGGTTGCGCTACCCCTCCATCACGTCTAGATGCCTTGACAAAGCAATGCGACAAGAGAGAACTTCCAAGTTCTAGCAGCTGATTAGCAGTCAAAACATCCATTAGGATCGTGATTTCGATTTTATACAGTCACGGCGGAGCCGAAATAATTGCAGGCTTAAGAAGAAGACTTGGACGGAGGATGTGATAGTACAAAGTATAGCTGCTCATATCTTCGCGTTTGATGTGACCTTGGCTGGTCTTGAGTTTCAACACAGGTAGGTAGGTTAAGCAGCGAACTGAACAGACCTAGCCAGACAAAATGAAAACAATACGGCACAACGCCACGCAAGACGTAGTGAACAAATGCATGGCCAGACAAGATATCTTGACCAAGTACTTTGAGAACAGAAGTTGTTGAAGTTGAAGACGCGTTTGTGTCTTTGTAACATCCAGCAGTATCTAACAGGGCGGGGTTGAGGTCCCTCTCAAGCTACGCGGTATCAAAGATCAGACAGAAACCCATCAAGTTGCCTTCATAACAAGATTGAGTGGACAGAGAGTATGTTTGTTCTGGATAACGAATTTGAACCAGTAGGGTTGTGTAGCTCGGCTTACGACACTGTAAACGACTATCACTATCATCAATGCCCAGTCAGTGGATTTAGTTGCGCTGGCCGCTGATTATCACTGCAGTACTGGTTGTCAATCTCGGTAGGTATATATTTCGAGACAAGTTGGGCTTTTTCTGATGCGACAGCGATTCACGGAAGCTTTTAGTGGCGGCTTGTGGCCTCTACAAATGCGCTGTAATTCGAGCTTCATTGTATGGCGGCAAAGACGGGCAAAGACAGCTCTAAAAGAGTTCTGTAAATCGGGCTACTTGCATGCGCTGAAGCTATGCTAATCGAGTCGATATCACAGGACTCGGCATCCATGGCTGAAGGCCAGTGTGAAATGGAAGAACGCGCAGGGGTAGCAGATGAGGCACATTGCTAGAGACCGTAACGGAACATAGTCACAATCTCTTTTGTACCAAGTGACTGACTGAAGTAGACAGCAGGTTGTCCACCACTCGGTGGGGGTTTGTTTCTGTAAGAGAGTTGAAAAGTTTCTGTCACACAGCGGGACGCCGGGGACACGCCAAGTGCCTGAAAAGAACCGCGAACCTTGAGCGCCAGTAGTGGCCGTCATTCCGTGTGCCCCCTGGCTGATCGTGCTGAAATATACAGGTCAAGGGTGAAGGTGCTGGAATGACCCCGCCTGGTCACTTTCCAGCAAGTTCAGTAGGTGATGGTGCTCTCGGATTGGGTTTTGCGAGGCGGTGAGTGGAGAGCAACACACTCCTCAGGGTGTGACAGTGATACATCGTTCCGGCATGCCCTGTGAGGCGTCATGCAAAGCACTAGAGAAGCCGCTGAAGGAGTCCTTTGCTGGTATCACTGAAAGATCGCGGCTTTGGTGATTGCAATTGTGAGAGACCTGGAAGCCGCTGTAAGTCGTTTTTGGCAACGAATTTGCAAGGCTTAAGCTGGCAACGTTGATAACAGCACAATAAGAACGCGTATAGAACAGAGAAGACAAGGAGTATTCCTCGAAACTGGCGCCAGATGAAGAAAAATATTAGACAGGTACAGTCGCGATACATCTAACATTGAGGATTCCGCACTTGCAGCAGTAGCACCCAAAAGGCTGCACGACTGAGCGGGCGGACGACTTGTCCCCTCTGCAAATGGCTGATTAACCAGTCAGCAATGCTTGTTGGAAAGTTCATTTCGCCTTATTGTTTGCACGTCGTCGGGAACTGGGTGTGTAGTGTTTTGGTTTTCGTGAACGTCAGAGGTGATGGACGCGAAAATATTAGGTCTATCCCGATGTATTGATGTGAGCCAGGCGAGTATTGCGCTGGGTTTCTCTTTCCTTTCCACTGCCCATCACGTTTTGGCGTTCCATTGCACTGTGGTATTTGTGCAGCTATCAGGCTAAGGAAGGTGCACTGGTAGGTGTTGCCGTTCACAAAAAATGGAAGCTGGGCTTAGGCAGCAGAGGCGTTGTTGGAGTATTTACGGGACATTCAATTTATTGCGTGAGCCTCTGATGTTACTGTAAACCTTGGAGCCCGCTGAGCTCTGGATTAGGTGAATTCTTGCAGAAGTCCGTGGGAGTGTTCAGGTCGGCTGTCGCGGGACAGATGATCGCAGTGGGTGCTGCTGACTTCCATAGCCATAGGTGTCCAACTTCTCCTCAGGCCCCATTTTCAACGCCCCCGCCCAAGTTACTGAAATTTTTCATCTATGTTCTGGTGGCCAGGGCGGGCGACTTGGAGGGCCACGGGCGGGTGTGTTACAGCCAATCAATTGGCGGTTGACCACTAGGAACACGCGCCTCTGCAGCTCTTCCCTTTTTTTACCCTTAATTTTTCTCGCGTAGGAAGGCGGGCGCTGATTTTAATTTTTTTTTTCTGCTTAGGCGCTACCATATTTTTCTGAAGCCCCCGCCTTAGCGAACATTTACTGATTGCGCCTGGCACCTGGTCCCTACATATTCAGCGCACCGCCCACCCCGCGCCCGTTTTCACTTTCCCCCGTTCTTCAGTACTCTCAGCACCCTCATCCTCCAGCACTTCTCACCTAGTAAATCACTGCATTTCAATCCCTCTCAACGCGCCAAAGCCCGCTTGAATTTCGCCGCTTTAATACTTCGCACCAAAACAGCGCATCGCGTCCACTACAGTCAGACTAAAACGCGTTTTTATCCGCCGTTCAGTCCCCATCAAGCCGTCTGCGTATAGCTTCATTCGAAGTCCATACCAGCAAAACCACCACATCACTACAAAACCCCAGAAACCTTCACCTAAGTCATAATGGCCCGCCCCAAGAAGACCGCTGTCGAGAAGCAGCCTGCTCCCGTACCTATTCCCCCCCAGCACATCCAGCAATACCCTCAACACCCTCAGCCTATTGCCGCTGTTCCCCAGCAAACAATGGCCGTTCCCATGCCCGCAGCTGTCGCGGTTCCTCAACCTCAAGCTGTCATGCCGCAGCGCGTTGTTGACAATGACAGCTTTCTTCGCGTGCGCGATTCGGTAAGTTCTCAATATTTTATCTGGTCTTCATAAATTTCACGTGCCCATTCCCTCGACTATTGGCGCAATCGAGTCATTATGTTCTCTGCTGTTGCTGAGTTGCTCATGACTTGCGATGCTTGTCAATGCAACACCGTATAACAAGGCATCTTTGGAGTATGGCGACAAAGTGAATTATCAGTCCAACTTCATTACAAGATTTATGTGGCCTTGATAAAGTTAAGACGCGCTGTCAGCTGGTCGCAATTCCAGGTCTTTACAAGCCCATAGGAGCTCTACCCCACCATGCCTTTGTTATCCACCCCTAACCCCACTCACTTGCACTCGACTTCATCCAATTGCCGAGTACAAGCCACAATCAAGACGCATTTAAAAGCAGTTCGTCTAACTTTTTCTAGGCCGTTGGTCGCTTGACTACCATTCTTGAGCTCTTGAGATCTTTCACAGCCGACTATGTTCGCCAGACCAACCTCCTGCTTGGCGAGCCTACTGCCGAGGGCTCCCAGGACAACCTTCTTGCCAACTTTGAGCATGCCGCTCAGCAGCTGATTATCAACCCCCCTGAGCTGGCTCCTCCCGTCGAGGAGAAGAAGGAGCGCAAGAAGCGCACCATTGATCCCAATGCGCCCAAGCGTCCCTTGACCCCTTACTTCCTGTACATGCAACACGCTCGCTCTATCATCGCGAACGACCTGGGTGCCGAGGCACCCAAGGGTGCGGTCCAGGAGGAAGGTCAGCGACGATGGGCTCACATGGGTCCTCATGAGAAGCAGGTGAGCAGTACTTTGACGGGAATTGATGTGAATGAAAGTTACTAACATGGGTATCAGGGTTGGAACAATGCTTACCAGTACAACCTCCGTCTCTACAACGCCCGTGTTCACTCTTACAAGAACGGCAACCCTGTTGCCAAGGCTATGACTGACGAGGAGGCGCTCAAGTACGCTGAGGATTTCCAGATCCCCATGCCTGAGCTCAAGGACGTAACCCAAACTGAAGCACCTGCCAATGACCAGGACAATATTGCTGAGCAACTTCAGGCTGTGGCCGCTGCTCCTGCTGCTGAGGAGCCTGAGGAGGCAGAAACCCCTGCCAAGACCCCTAAGAAGGCTACTGGTGGTCGCAAGCGCAAGGTGGCTACTCCCGCTGCCGCTGTTGAGGAGAAGCCTGCCCCTGCAAGCCCCGACAAGAAGCGAAGGCGTTCCACCAAGGCCGCCGCCGTCGAGCCTCAGGAAGAGCCCAAGAAGTCGGGTCGTAAGAAGACTAAGAGCTCTTGATTGCCCTTCCTCTGTTCTCTCTTTCTAGGTTCGCATTGGTTTATCTTAGCTTTCCACAGCTCTCCTTTAAGCTCTTGGAGCAAAATTTATGCTGACAAGATGCACGATACCTGAGGAGACTGTATATACATAGGGTGGTCTATAGGAGTTTCGTGGCGTTGTCTATTGCTTATCCGTATTTCAGCTAGGTTATTGGTACTTATGGACGGTAAAATCAGGGTTTTATCAAAGATAGGGCTGGGAAGTGGGAAGGCTCACTGGACTGTGTACGATGTCTATGTTGTTTTGACGTCCACGCCGATGCCGATATGAATGATCTCAAGCATATTGATTATCTTCACTTCTCTTGCTGAAAACGTGTTTCTGTGAATAATGCATAACAGTCTGCTCTCAGTGTCTTGTAGGGTCACCATGTTTTCGTGCAATGTATGGTCAGCGATGCTGCAGCATGATGAAAGAACTATCTCATGGATGTCACTTGATTGCCAAAAACTTAGTAGTTTACTGATGTGATATGTGTTGCCTCGCTGGTTTGATGCTAACAAGTCACAAACAACCCCGTAAAGCTGCAGTGTGAAAAAATGTATTGCTTATTCTTCAAACAGCACCGCACCTAGTTCTGGACCGACATGGAAGGCTATACCTGTCACGACATGAAATCTGGTTCGTGTAAGTCATATGCGACTTCAGTAAGTGACAACGCAATTGTGTTTTCTTTACTTATTTCAAGCCATTATGGCAAGGCTACCCCTGGGCTATCTGCTGAGAGTAACTTCAACTGGAAGTTCCGCAGTTTCTTTCATTCCGGCAGCGAATTATATACTGAGCGAACGCGTCTCTAGTGGTGTTGTTGAAGGTCAACGCATGTATTCTTGAGACATAGGTGTTATCGGTGTGCATGTAACCGTGCTCCCACTCTTATCGGGACGTGCCCCTAGAAGATCGCCAACTCCCGCAGTGGGACACAAAAAGTCTGGAGCCCCAGGTCAGCTTGAGGCTAAATGTGAAGAGACGAGCGAGCCTGAGTGACAGCCAACTTCTATCAAAGCGCCTCTACTACGTCATGCCCTTTGCACCTGCAGCTTCAATCGTCTTCTACCTGCCTGAGATCTGAAGCATTGAGCTTTTCCCTGTACGCTTTGTGAAAGGGCCTTTTTCAGAGAACGCGTCTCTGTTCATCAGTCCTCTGAATCAAAAAGACTTTTCTCTACGACTGTATAGCCGCCCTTGTTAACTCGACTTGCTCGCACAAGACAGGCGCGTACTGTTACTCATCTAACGTTGTGGCTTGCGAAAAACGAATTCTTTAAGCATCTGTCAATCTTCCCAAGGAGGCCATTAAACTTTGACTACGCCCAAAGTAGATCTTCCCAAAGCAGACTCATCGACATGTCTTCTTTTATTCGTTGGTAGGTCTAATCAAGTTGATTTCTCATTCAATACAAACATCACTGTATCGTCCGTGCTGATCTATATCAAGGTACAATGCCAGATTGGCTGCGCGTCCACTGCTTACTCAAAGTGTAACCACGGCATTTCTGTTTGCTACTGGTGATGTTACAGCTCAACAGCTTGTCGAGAAAAAGGGTGTTCAGAAGCATGACTTGGTTCGAACAGGTCGAATGGCCCTCTACGGTGGCTGTGAGTCTTCCCTCGACCCTAGGCTCTATCCATAGACAAGCATTAACTCTTGACAGGTGTTTTCGGTCCCGTTGCAACAACATGGTTCGCTTTTCTCGCCCGCAGGGTCAACGTGAGAAACAACAAGAAGGCCGAGGTTCTCGCCCGTGTTGCTTGCGACCAGCTTGGCTTTGCGCCTGTCATGATAGGTGTCTTCCTGGGTAGCATGGCCACCATGGAAGGCAAGAGCGCAAAGGAGCGCATCGACAAGTCCTGGTGGCCCGCTCTAAAGGCCAATTGGATGCTCTGGCCTGCTGTCCAGGTCATCAACTTCTCGCTCATCCCTTTACAGTATCGTCTTTTCTTTGCCAATATCATTGCTATTGGCTGGAACTCGTATTTGAGTTGGGTCAATTCCCAATAGATAAGGACCGATTTGTTGAGAGAATCGTCTTGCTGGCTATCTTCGTATAAACATAAACGCATGTGTTTATATACCGAACAAGGTTGATACTCTGCCTTCGCAAGAGTTGACTAGGCTTGTTACTTTCACACGGTCAGGGAATATACAGCGCAGAAGGAATGAGATCAAGCGGATTAAAAGGGCTCAACCATGTTTCATTAGATGATATAGTTCTTTATACTAAGCCATCAGAAGCACATGACTGCTTTTTTTCATAGTCATTTTACGGATCTCATTCGTCTTATCTTATGAGCACGGGATGGGTTGCCAAGACTCATGATACAGCGGTAATCAATGTCCGAGCTGCCCTGGATCGGTTATCAGTGAGATCGGGGACAAAGACCCATGATAGCCGCCGTAGGCTTGCGTCTCCCAGGTTCTGAGCGCCCTGTTACAACTGCGGAGAAGCCCCGTGATGGAAACCAGGTGCAGTGGTTGGGGTACGGTCCGTGTTTAGAATGCTGGGCGCGATGTAGGGGGAAGTAGACAGAAATGGTCCAAGTTTTGAGTATCAATGCCTCACGAAGCGATAAACTCAACTACAAGACATCATGAATCTTATTCTAACAATCAATAGAGATAGTGCGATGGCATATGTTGCTATTTTTATGGACCAGAGAAGAATAGTTATTCTCAATTAAGCGAAAACATCAAGAAGATATCCTGTTCATATGCAGTCTGTTCTTTTATGTCACCAAGTCAGAGTAGCCGTTGTTGCTGCCTTAGGCCACAAATAGTTAGCGTAAGAAACCCTGCCCATCGCAGCGCAGCCTTTTCCCAGGCGGCCAAATCCGGGTTTGAAGATACAACCGAACAACATCAGGAACTCGTCCTGACGTTTAAAACCGCCCCTCTACTCGCTCTCCAGACTCCGCGGTCCCTCCGCGCCTGGTAACTCATCATGTTGCCTTCATCAGTGCGCCGTGTCGTCGCCTCCGCCATCTCCTCTACCCCTCAGACCGGTGTTGTGTCTTCCTTCGCCTCAGCCACTATAAAGACTACTCCTGTCTTTGTTCAAAATCAACAGCGACGATACTCCTCCTCGAAACCCTCCAAATCCGACAATGGTCCCAACGACATCTCAGCCAGTCAGTCGGTTCCTGCTACTTCAACGCCCAAGTCGGGCGGCGAGAAGCGGAAACGCAAGAGCAACAAGGATGCCTCCGATCGAGCGGCTTCTATGAAGAAGCTGCCCAGCGTCCCCAGCACGCATCACATGTCACAAGAAGGTAGGACCCCAGAAGAATCCAATTGCGTATATAGAATAATTACTAACCAGGCTCAGCTCTTGGTCTATCAAGTTTCTTCTCACTACACAGACCGATCTCTGTTACCCAAACCATGCCCCGAGCCGTGTCCGATGAGCACTTTGCCTCTATCTTTGCCGCACGAAGCAGAAACAACAAGCTGGCCGACACCGAATCGACGCTCTCCAGTACTATCGAGCAGCTGGAAGGTCCTATGGCCCAGATGACCATTGGTGGACAAGAGGGCCAGGAGGTCATGCACAAGGTTGATATCAAGAATCCCGATGGTACCGAGTCGAGCATGTACCTCCAGATTGATACCATGTCTGGGGAATTCCTCCCCTTCCGGCCTCCCCCTCTGCCACAAGCCCAGGCTGCTGGCGAGCCAGAGAGTGCTGTTGCGGAAGCGGAAGCCGTGGAGGACGTTCCCCAGCACCGTGTCTACAAGGCCCTCTTCACCATTGAGGAGTCTACCGACCCCGATGGTCAGATCCGCATCATGGCTCATAGCCCCCGAATCATGCAAGATCAACCACGAAGCTTTCTCGAGCGTCTGGCCCTCCGCCAACTCAAATTTGATGAGGCACAAGGCCGCCGCGATATGCACGCTATTAGTGTAAAGAGACAACGGAAGCTCAAGATGAAGAAGAAGAAGTACAAGAAGTTGATGAAGAGGACGCGAGTCCTGCGCCGCAAGTTGGATCGAACTTAGACATGCGTACATATTCCCCTAGCCGTCCGAGTTCTCTTTTTGATTCTCCCCCTATCTCGCATATGGGGCTTTCAAAGGACATGTTTTCATTCGTGGTGTCTGGGCATGATGGTGATGATTTCTCTACAAGTTTGGACTGGCATTGCGATCCGAGACTTTTCATATTTTTATAGACTCGCATAACATTCATCATTCTGAATAAGTCGGGATAATTTTTGCCGTGACATCTGTCTCAGATATACGAATCATGTATGATTAGCTGTACAATTCACTCATCGATCCTTGCTTTCTGTCTCGTGCATGTATGACGATTATTGCTTGTGAGGTTTGATGCTTTCATAAAGTTTTGTTGAACTTTTCATGTAGAGTAAAACTACCAATCGTACGAGTCGAGTCACAAATATGATTGAGAAATTTCGTGACTCATGAACGATACCAAGCAGCCACTTAGTTGTTGTATCAAATGAAGACCAGCATGTATGTGAGAATTGAAACCCACACCGAGCGCCACCGTACTTGACTCCAAGAGTTCTCGGTGAGATCGAGAGCTAACTTCGTCAACGTCCCACTTTTACTATGTCTCACCGAAGTTTCACCGCCCGGCAGAATTTTATCGACCGCCAAAATTTTGGATTTTTGAACCAGGTCCCACTTGAAGACGAGATCGCATTTGCGCCCAGGTATTTTCAGAGCAATCCGCTGTAGAAAAATCTGAAAAAATGCAGCGCAAAGCGGTGTATGTTTCTCTTTTGGTATCTTGAGCTTTGTTTAGTATGCTAATAGTATCATAGTGACTCGCGCATTCCAGCGCTCATTCAAAATGGGTTGCAAGAGAAGAAGAGAAGCTTCTTTGTCGTGGTGGGAGACAGGTCAAAGGATGTGATCGTTCGTCTGCACTACATCATGTCACAATTTGATATCAAGCAGAACAAGTCTGTCTTGTGGGCTTACAAGAACAAGCTATTGGGCTTCACCAGGTGAGCAATTGTTGAAGTCCCTTCGCTCGATGCGACCCGGCTAATAAAAGCTTCCAAGTCACCGAAAGAAGCGCGAGGAAAGGATCAAGAAGGAAATCAAGCGAGGAATCCGAGAGGCCAACACCGAGGACCCCTTCGAGCTGTTTGTATCACTACATAACATCCGATATACCTACTACAAGGAGACCGACAAGATTCTTGGTCAAACATTCGGCATGTGTATTCTGCAGGACTTCGAGGCCATCACACCCAACATCCTTGCGCGAACGATCGAGACTGTCGAAGGTGGCGGATTGGTCGTTCTGCTGTTGAAGGGCATGAACAGCCTGAAACAGCTTTACAGCCTGTCTATGGACGTGCACTCACGATACAGGACTGAGGCCCACGACGATGTGGTGGCTCGTTTCAACGAACGATTCATCCTGTCCTTGGGCAGCTGCAACTCTTGTTTGGTCATCGACGACGAGATGAATGTGCTCCCCATCTCCGGTGGTAAAGGTGTCAAGAAGCTACCTCCTCCCGACCTGGACAACGCCAAGACTGAGTCTCAAATCGAGCTCGAGGCTATGAAGGAGCAAAACGAGGGCCGACAGCCAGTGGGACCTCTCATTTCTCTCGCCAAGACTGTCGACCAGGCCAAGGCTCTTGTTACATTCACAGACGCTATCGCTGAAAAGACACTACGAAGCACAGTTACTCTGACTGCGGCACGAGGTCGCGGAAAGTCTGCGGCCATGGGTGTTGCTGTCGCAGCCGCTGTTGCGTACGGATACAGCAACATCTTCATCACCTCGCCCTCCCCCGAAAACCTGAAAACTCTTTTCGAGTTCGTCTTCAAGGGCTTCGACGAGCTGGGTTACGCCGATCACGCCGATTACTCAATCATTCAGAGCACCAACCCCGACTTCCATAAAGCCATCGTCCGTGTCAACATTCACCGACAGCACCGACAGACCATTCAGTACATTCGCCCTCAAGATGCTCACGTCCTCGGACAGGCTGAGTTGGTAGTGATCGATGAGGCGGCAGCAATTCCTCTGCCCCTGGTCAGGAAGCTGATGGGTCCTTACCTTGTCTTCATGGCATCCACCATCAACGGTTACGAGGGTACAGGACGCTCTCTTTCTCTCAAGCTCATCAAGCAGCTGCGAGACCAATCACGCACTGCTTCCACAGCAGGCGAGGGCATGGAGATTGCAGACCGATCAACTGGCAAGACGTCAAAGACTGAGGAGTTCCAGGCTGGACGTAAGCTACGAGAGATCACCCTGTCTGAGCCTATCCGATATGCTCAGGGAGATGCTGTTGAGAAGTGGCTCAACACTGTACTTTGTCTTGATGCAACCCTTCCCAAGGCAAAGTCTAGCATTAATGGATGTCCTGATCCCACTCAATGTCATCTTCTCAATGTCAACCGCGACACACTTTTCTCCTTCCACCCTGTGTCTGAGAAGTTCTTGCAACAAATGGTTGCGCTATACGTTGCCAGTCATTATAAAAACTCGCCTGATGATCTGCAGCTTATGAGTGATGCGCCTGCGCACGAGCTCTTCGTTCTTGTTCCTCCAGTTTCCGAGGATAGCGCAAGATTGCCAGAGCCCCTCTGTGTTATCCAGGTTTCGCTGGAAGGAAAGATCAGCAGGCAGAGTGTTCTCAACAGTTTGAGTCGTGGACAGCGACCAAATGGTGATCTCATTCCCTGGCTTGTCAGTCAACAATTCCAGGATGAGGACTTTGCTTCTCTTTCTGGTGCCCGAGTTGTCCGAATTGCCACAAACCCCGAGTATGTTTCCATGGGCTACGGAACCAAGGCTCTGGAGCTGCTCGTCGATTACTACGAGGGACGCTTTGCCAGCCTTTCTGAGGACGAGGACCAAGTTATGGAAGAGACGATGACTCGAGTCACGGACGCCGAGCTGGCCAGTGCTAACCTTCTCGATGACGATATCAAGGTGCGAGACATCAACAAGATGCCCCCCTTGTTCTCCAAGCTCTCCGAGAAGAAGCCCGAGCCGCTTGATTATGTAGGTGTGAGCTACGGTTTGACCAGTCCTCTGCACAAGTTCTGGAAGAGGGCATCTTTCTCTCCCGTGTATCTGCGACAGACAGCCAACGACCTCACTGGCGAGCACACCTGTGTCATGCTGCGACCTCTTGAAAACAGTGGTGACCGAAGCTGGCTTGGTGCTTTCTCCCGAGACTTCCAAAAGCGATTCTTGTCACTGCTGTCATATCAGTTCCGCTCATTCTCCCCCGTCACAGCTCTTAGCATCGACGAGTCTGCGAATGCCGGTGCAAAGCTGGACTCGTTCGAGATCCAATCACTTGCCAGGTCCGATCTTGATATTTACATGACTCCTTTCGATCTGAAGCGACTTGACTCATACTCCAATAACATGCTCGACTACCACGTTATCCTCGATCTGGTTCCAATAATCGCCAATCTGTACTTCACAGGACGTCTCAAGGAAAAGGTCAGCTTGACAGGAGTTCAACAGTCCATTCTACTCGCCATTGGATTGCAGCGCAAGGACATTGAGGTCATTTCGGGGGAGATTGGTCTCCCTACACAACAGCTCCTTGCCATGTTTATTAAGATTATGCGCAAGGTGACTAAACACTTCGCTGAGGTTGTCTCCACTGCCGTAGATGCAGAGCTTCCCAAGGCCGAGCGTCTGGGCGTGTCACGCGAGAACGCTGATGGTGCTCACGACGACGAGATTGTGGATGAGCGCTTCGTGCCTCTGGCTACTACACTCGACGAGGAACTCGAGGAGGGTGGCGACGAGGCCTTGAGAGAGCTCAAGAAGAAGCAAAGAGAGCTTATTGACTCGTTGCCCCTCGACCAGTAAGTTGCCAATCGCCATTCGACGACATACAAAAAACTAACAACGGAATAGATACGAGATCGAAGGTGATGCTCCCGCATGGGAAGATGCGGAAAAGCAGGTCAAGAGCGCGGCCAAGGAGGGCAAGTCAAACCCTGTCGTCAGCGTGAAATCGTCCAAGCAGAAGAGAAAGGCTGGCCAGCAGACGGCAGCTGAGGTCTACGAAGAGGAGTTCGGGGAGAAGAAGAAGAAGAAGAGCAAGAGATCGAAAAAGTCGGATTAAGTGGGTTGTAGAGTATACTAGGTCTGTTACTGGGAAAGGCGTTCTGCTTGATAGACAGTCGTGTCGTAATCAATACCGTTTTATTGCCAAGAGTTGTCTTTCGAAGCTGATATCGCATTGGACAAGTGACGCTGTTGTTGGATCATCGAAAAGGATGTTAATGATATTTTCTTGATTAAGATGGGTTAATTAGTCTGCCGTGCTTCATTCAATTGACGATTTGTTAGATGCTTTGTAGTCCATTCTTTGTAGTTCTCGAGATTCCTTCCTGTAGCGATACTTATTTTACGACTCTTGAGCCAGCCTATTGTTGGAACACAGTCCTCGCACTACATCTACGTTAGAAAACAGTAGACGTACACACAAGCCACATAATTAAATAACCGTCACAAGTTGATTAGTTTTTAGGTCATCGGATCGCGGAATAATCTTCTGTAAAAATCAGGGCAAACTCAGGGGTATCAATTTGTCACTATCAGCCTTCCCTTATCCTTCCTTATCTATCCTCGCCAGTCGATACTCTATATCGTAGCGCCGGTAGCTGTGCTGTTATAACTTCATCTAGGGCAGTTCGTTAAGCACTCACCTTTCCTGTTTCAAGAATATCCAAAACATCAGCGGTCCTGCGCTTCTGTTTTGGTCTAGAAAATCTCCGTCGCAGCCCATATCCATCATGGGATAAGAGCAGTTCCAGACAGGGGGTTACCAAACCTTGATACTCTTACAGCATCTCCGTAGAACTTGTCTTTTCGGTCCGGAATTTTAGGAGCAGCAGAATCTTTGAGTTCTCTTCATTAATTGTGCCACTCTTACAGAAGGGTATTCTGCTGGGCTTCGGACTGCACAGCATCCTCAAGAGCCTCGAAAGCAGTCTGGCCTCCATCAAAAGAGAAAACGATAGAGATAGGCTCGACAGATTCAATTCCCGAGAGAAAATCATTTAAGACCATATACCAAAAGCCATCCGGTTCCTGTCGAGGCAGAATTGGCTTCTTGACGAAGTACTTACGAGCAAAGTCCTCCTTCCATTCGCTGTACTTCTCTTGGGCAACTTGATCGCGGAACTGCCTGACTTGTAGGGTCTTGTTAGCAGCTTCACCATAACCCCGGAACAGGTTTGCAAACCAATAAGGGCAGGAATCGTTGTTGGGGCATCCTGACAGCAAAGGCTGGATTTCCTTCTCCTTGGGATATTCGCACTGAGATGCGAGTGGAAGGGGTTCATTTTCGTCGCTTGCTTGTCTTGCATCGACACGCCATGCATTGCAAGCAATGAAGTACTCGAAGAGAAGCTCACCACAATGGCAGCATACTGTTTCGACCTTCTGACACATGTTGGGCAGTGGTTCAAAAGTGAAAATAAACAGTTTTGTTAGATGGTGTGTTTATGAGATGCATATGCAGACGGTTTGCGATGTCTTGGAGACTGTGAGGAATAGAAAACGTTTGAAGAGATGAGCAACTTATATAGTTAAGACAAATAGATCAACTGTGACAGTACCACAGTGAACAAGTCGCGTGTTGGTGATATGTCCAAACTCTCAAGGGATATGAAGAAAAAGAACAATGCATTGTGAAGATCTTGGATTTGGGCTGTAAATCAGAACAATAGATTATGATATATGAACAGGCACATTTCCAAGCATCCTTCTTGTTCACTCCTGGTAACTATGAACATACGGAATTCCATTGTTCGATTCCTGTTCAAAGAACCATGAAGGTAATCGGAGTCACGTAGAGCTATCTTATACCAGCCATAAACTCCCAAATCCTCTGGTCTCTCTTCTAGTCTGCTAAGTCCAATCCATATCTCATCTCACAAAGACATTGTAGGGACTCAAATGCATTAATTCAATCCTCCCATCACATCTCAAGTGTTCTTGGGCGGCCTGGTGTTGATGGGAGCTCTGAATGCTGAGGACTTACCACATGTGGCAAGTTGCTAAAATTCTGAGATGTATCCCTAGGTGTTGAAGACATGGGCGGGTGGTTGTACTGAGGATCAGGAGATGTATGGTTGATATAACCATAACTCGGCAAAGATTGCGAGGGAGAATGGTAGTTTGCTGGCGTGTAGACGCTGGTGTCTGTGCCGCGATTATGATTCTTGCGAAAAACAAACCACAAGCCAAACCCAATGAATGCAATAAGAGCCAAGCCTCCTATGACACCTCCCACGATAGGTCCGATAGGTGTGCTAGGAGAATTGGCCCCGTTGTCCGTTGATGAGGTCTGACTAGCAGATTCTGACTCTGTATTCGTAGGAGCCGCCTTGATACTTATATTTTCCTCTACCGAGGTGATTGATTCGGTAGTCATGACTTCTGTCGTGGAGGTTGTTGTAGAGGCTGTCGTCCAAGTTTCCTCATCCGACTACGAAGTTGATATGTCTGTTGATTGATAGATGAAAACTTCCATTTGCGCCGTTGCGCAAACAAAGGCTGTGATCGTCGCATCCCGAGAACCTCGTAAGCGGATAAACATTCTGGGAACTCTGGTCGTAAACTAATTCGCAGTTAGCCCTCAGTGTAGACTTTATACTTGTGCGTGAGTTACGAACCAGCATCCAACCCGTGCGCTCTGGCCATAGCATCTACTTGAAGGAAGACAAGCTGTGAGAACTATGGGTTCACATCCGAAATGTGCGCCACTGGTATTGCAGTTGAATTCCATCGATAACGGTTTGGCACACCGCTATGTTGCCCAATCTAAAAGCCAGGATACATTAGCTTATTGTAGGTTTCTAATGAGATTACTATGAGAGGATTCAAATAGAGTCTTAACTGTCGGGCTTTGGGAGTTGTAGTATCCACATATTTCTTGAGATTTTCTGCCATGAATAACATCTCGCTCATCTATCGCTGCTAATGTGGTCAGCATGGGGCCGGCGTGAGCAAGCCCAGGAGGACCAGCAGGATGAGTCTGCACACTCTCGGCCATTATGGGGATGAGTGGATTTAGAGCTTGAAGAACGAGAAAGACCGAAATTCATTTGAGGAGTACTCCAGCTTTTAAGAGTAGAGTAGAGGACCAGACAAATACTACGTGGATCAGGCTCTGCATTCTATGGCGTCTTTGCCAAGGCAGACTTCAAAGAAAACAATGCAATGGTTAATATCAAACCGCAGCCTGATTTTGTTTTCGTAGACAAGTATGCATATATATTGCATGTGGTAGTGCTCACTGCAAGAGTTCCTTAGCAGGTGAACATCATTCATGCTGATTTTCCGTAATGAGGCTTTCTCTATCAAATTAGGACGCTGTTTTCACCAGGTCGGCGTTCTTGGCAGTGCAGTAGTTCAGACGGTTGAGGTAGCCTAACAATATCAGGCTGGGGAAAAGTAGATATTGGGAATGCTCACTATCACAAGGTACCACAGCCTGATATAGAAGAAGCACAGTTAGCGTAAAGACTTGCCACCACAGATCTAAAGCCATAACAGATATTACTTACCTATTACTATTTATACTTAACCACACACTTCGTACAGCCATAATATATTCTATATTCGATCTGTTTGACCAAGTACAATCGAACATAGGTTACACTTCCTGGATGGTTTGGTAACGTACCCATACTATATATAACATCGGCGAATGACCGGATATAAGAAGTATCGAATAAAGGGTAATCAATTACCTTATTCTGTTTGTTCTTTATATAATCAGTTAACCCAATTGGTTGTTTCGTCCATGTTCATTCATGTTACTGGTGCATGCCCATGGTAGGACGTTGCCGTGGCCTCCGATCTCGGCGACGAACCCGGCTTGGAGCTTCTCCTCACAGGTATTTCCAGCAACGCAATATCAAATATAAATACGCGACAAGTCCGATATTTTTTCAAATTCAATAATTCGGTTCCACTCATCAAATACTTAATCACAATCATGGCTGAACAGAAAGATAGATGGTCTACCAATGTTTGTCATCCTTGCCCTTCGGATACGTCGCTTGACACTTACACGGATGGACTTTAGGCGTACCAACACTCGGCTTCTTTTGTACCCAAACTTGCAACAAAAGTCGTATCGTGGTTAGACTTACAAAAGGATGACGTTCTTCTTGATATTGGGTGTGGCGGTATGTACTTGGGTCCAAAAAACAGGGCTGTGGAGCAGTTGGGCTGATTGTCTAGATGGCATATTGAATGCCGAGTTTGCCAAGATCCTCTCACAGGGAGCAGGGTCAATGCATGGTATTGACAGTTCAGCATCCATGATTGGGGCTGCCCAGAACTTGTGTAAGGATCACAAAAATTCGACCTTTGAAGGTGAGGTTTCTGAGACCACTGCCTTTTTTCCTAGCTTACCTGTTGATTCACTATGTAGTTCTGGATGCTACACAGCTCGTCTCGAAGCTGGAGCTTCAGAAAGGATGTTTCAACAAAGCCTTTTCCAATGCAGCTATGCACTGGATTCTATGCTCGGAAGAGACTCGCGCCCAATTCTTTGACGGAGTATATGCTGCGCTGGCCCCTGGCGGCACATTCGCCTTTGAGATGGGCGGCCTGGGCAACGTTTCTGAAATGCGGGCGGCGATTCTAAGTGCTGTAGCTCGCCGAGTGGGTTTGGAAAAGGCTCTGACAGCAGACCCCTGGTTCTTTCCGGATGAAACATGGATCACGAGTGCCCTTGAAGCGGCGGGTTTCAAAGTTGAGCGGGCAGAGCGCGAGTGGCGACCAACACCTGCTGACAAGGGTGGTGTTGAAGGTTGGGTTAGGTTGATGGGAAGTCAATTACTCGATGCAGTGACTGATGAGAAAGATAGAGAGGAGGCAGCGCAGGAATGTTCGAATGTGCTGAGAGAAGTATGTCGTAATCCTGCTGGAGGAGAGACCATATCCTATGTTAGACTGAGAGCCATAGCTCGCAAGCCTGAGTAAGGCCATGACAAGACAGCATATTTCATTGGCATACTTAGGATTTATAGAATAACTTCAAACATGCAGTATCAATACATCGTCTTTAGAATTAGCGAGTCAACCCATTGTTCCAAGAATCATTCACTGACATGAAGCAACAAACATTTGGAGCATCGATGTTAACCTGTAGCGACTCTGATTAGTCATTTCGTGAATCGAAGGTTCCAGGTTCCTTTGCGTCAGCGCACTCAGCAGCAACTGCCTAATTGCATTTGCTTCAGGGGCAACAAAGCATAATCTAGTCACCTACCCTTTGACGTAGATTAATAGTGAGAAAACCGATGGCCATGTTTCTTTATTGTATCAAACAAGAAGTTCACATCGGGGTTTTGGTAACGACGTCATCTTCATAACCTAGACCCTTGACATAGCTTACCCACTTACCACCCTAAACCATCGTGAACACACCCCACGTTTTACCAGCAAGGTCACTAACAATACCATGTCGGAACACGATGCCCTTGTTTTATCGTATAGCCACTTGGCCAAGTTTCCCAGGGCAAGCGAAGCATTGCAAACCTTGAAAAAGGTGGCTTCCATCGTGAAACCAATTATGCGAGCCCGTAACTGGAAAGTTCGACAGTTGACCGAATTCTATCCCGAGCAGCACAATCTCCTAGGTAGGTTTCATGGCGAATCTCTCGAGCGAATATCATGTTAAACGCAATTAACAGGTCTCAATGTGAACCGCGGAGCCAAGATATGTCTTCGCTTACGGCATGCTGGAGATCGCAACCAGTTCATGCCCATCGAAAACGTTGTAGATACTATGCTCCATGAGTTGTCTCACATTGTTCATGGTCCTCACGATGCCAAGTTCCACGCTCTTTGGGATCAGCTTCGAGACGAACATGAAGGTCTTGTTCTCAAAGGCTACACCGGCGAGGGCTTCCTCTCCGAGGGACGACGCCTCGGAGGGTCGAGGATACCACCCCTCGAGGCTCGTAGACTAGCCAGAGAAGCTGCAGAAAAACGTCGATCACGTCCCGGCGCTGGGTCAGGCAAGCGTTTGGGGGGATCTGCCCCGCGTCCAGGCGAAGACATTCGAAGGGTTATTGCTGATGCTGCTGAGCGGCGAAGCAGCACTTTGAAGGGTTGTGGCACGGACAAGCTGAGCGAAATCCAGATTCAGAACATCTTTGATTCTGCTACAAAGAACGGTTTTCGAACGCAGGCCGAAGAAGATGAGGCTAATGATGCAGCCATTGCTCAAGCACTGTGGGAACTGGTGCAAGAAGACAAATCAGTCAAGTACGGCAGCTCTTATATCCCGCCAACAGCCGACAACCCTACTGGGAACGGCGGTGGATCAGTAATTCCAAATGGGAGACTTAGTCGTAGTTTAGAGAGGTCTAGAGAGCCTAAGAGTTGGACGTGCGACACTTGTACTCTGCGCAACCCTGGCAATAACCTCTGTTGCGACGCGTGTGGGATGGAGCGGTCCGCAAGGCCAGGGACACAAGCGGTTAACGATAACCGCCGATCCAAATCGCCGGTTTCTGAGAGACAACCTGCTGTTGTTGACTTGACCCAGAGTCCGCCACGAGATCGGCGACGACCCTCTGTTATGACATCGCGGAAATCGAAACCACCAAGTGTAGCACAAGGAACCGCATCTTCAGGACCTCAAGTGTGGGAGTGTAGCTTTTGCGGGACGGAAATGCAAAAGCAGTGGTGGACTTGCTCAGCATGCGGGAAAATGAAGGATAATTCACGATAGTTAGTCACAGAGAATCGCATAGATTTTGGTCAATGAGAGGATGGGAAACTTTGTGGGCGAATCAATGCTTGGACCCCTGATTCTTGTTTCTTGATTTTGTTGATCAAATATGACTTCATTGTTGTGGTGCTTGACGATTTGTACAGGCTCACCTTTCGACGATGTCTTGGCTTCCAATCATGAAGTGGACATTTCTCCGAAGCGAAGGAACAAGGTGCAGGGATCAACCAAGATCGTGCCCTGAGAATCGCAAGAAATATGACGTTAAAGAGACTTTTGCAGGATTCGGAAAAGCGCCGATTAGAATTGGAGATGATCTGCAAGGCGGGCTTGGACGCCATGTGCCTCCGAACAGGACCCTAGCAGAGCCCGGTGGGTTGGAGACAAGAAAGAGTCGGTTGAAACAACAGGTGATGGAAGGGCTGACGCTTAAAGCGGCTGCTGAAGACCGAGGAGTCAAGACAGCTTGCAGCCCTAGATTTGAGATCAATTGGCCCTATATAAGGACGGATCTCAAGATACGGTTGTGATTCGGACTACTGAGAGAACAAAAAACTTGAGATCTTTGGCTCAGGGTCCAGAAAACAAGTAGTCTAACAGGGAGTCGTACCCAAAGTGACCGAGTTGTGTTTTTCTGACCTAGATTCGTGACTAGTAAAACTGCACAGGAACCTTTTCGTCAAATTGATTCTGGAGGTCTAGATGTCTCTATGATCAATTCTAGATCGCCCTGCATCACCACAAATAGACAGAAGCATGCAGCTAACTGTTCGGAATGCATTCGTCGGAAGAATTTGTGCATTGTGCCATGCATCGTAACGCAATCGTCGAGCTGTCAGCTTCGCACCTCAGAGTGTGATAGGACGGGCACAGTAAGACTTTCTGTTACAGTCACAGTGATAGTGGACTGATTGGTCAAGTCGTCGTTACATAGAATGTACTGTAGTAAGGTCCTGGACAGAATGCAGATGCCTATTGAAGGGCTTAGCACAACGTGTGAACCCCATGTTGTATATGGATCGATTGCTCTTCTGACTAGCCCATATGTTTTGCTTTATTCAACATTAAAACGCAAATGTGTCTGCGTGCCTGAAAGCCCGCTCGTCTTATTCGTCGGCTCTCATGATCTCCTGTGTCGTGCATCGACGGGTGGGTACTTTATACGCTTGGTACAGGGCCAGATGGGGATGCGAGTGTAACTGCAACCACATCAAGTCAGATAGTGTATGTGCTACATACTGCACTGTAACAAAGCTTCTCGACGGATCCTTGCCAGCATCACACGATGCCACGCATTGACAGAGACACGTTGGTGAGGCGGTGATACCAGAATGAATTGAAAGCCCAACATTCTCTCGGGCAAAACAACAATCTCAAAAGCTTGGTTCAGTTGGGTATCGGTAAGGTACTACTGTGTGTAAGTTGCCTTTTAGTCCCATTATGCCTTTTAGTTTCAGATGACAAGCACTACATCTTCTGATAGGGCGAGCAACCTAAGACTGGTTGCTGGAGGATTAGGGTGTTTGTCATGCGCTATGCCGCAATGATTAATTCGTAAATCTCATGATGGATTTTGGGTTTTCTGCGTGAATTCCCATTCGACAACGGGCGCGAAAGAGAAGAGAACCATGAGGAAACGCCGCAGTGCGGTTGGGTAACTTTCGCGGCTCCAACATTGTCGAACGGATGAGACGGGTTAATAGAATCCGATAAGAGTAGGATTCCTTCGTTTACTGGCATGCCCTGGTTGCGGGGATCGATGTTATCCATTCCCATGGGATGGCCCTGTCTCCACGAACGGTACCTAGGTATGTAGTCAGACAAGGCCAGACCGCCCTATTCTTGTGTCTAAATCGGTATTTTGCACTGCATTTGCATTGGATTTGGGCACAAGCGTTGGAGTAACTGGCCCAATTTGAACACAGGTATCAAGCCTCGAGCATTGTCCGACCACCTTCGGCTTTGAGCATGCAAGTGTTCTGTCCGGCCTTGGCTTGTGCTCATTTTCACATAAGGCTGGTGTTGTCCCGTGCTGTAGGAGCAAGCTAGGTGGTAGCAGAAAACTTGAGACACGCATTAGCTAAGGACACAGGAAATAAACAGCCCAGGAGCAAGTATAAGATGGCATAAAATGACTAAATTATTTCGTCTCTTGGGCAAGTAAAGTCAAGTTTTCCGGGACCCCGAGGATCGGTTCGACTTGCGACAGACTTGGCAAGTAAGAATGGGGCCGCCTCCCATGCTGATGCTGATGCTGATGCTGATGCTGGTGAGCTTTGGGGCGCCAGAGCTAACTTAGCGTGCGATTCTGGGCTCTCGTAGATTTCGTCTCTATAGGTGTCTCGACGGAATATTGTGGGAATTCGAATGGGTTTGGGTCTCAGTCAGGCTCAGTAAGATGCAACAGCAATTCATGTCGTGTTTGTGTTGATGTTGATGGACAGAAAGTTCGGAAAGAGGCTTCTCTCTTGTCTGTTCACCGCAGGAATCAGGGCTTGCAACTGGATCCATGTCGTTTCTCCCTTAGTACTGTATCGTGCTTGCCGTATCGTGCTTGAGATCGGCATTTCATGAACAAGGTAGGGTGGGCCCGGCTGTGGAGGCGATCCCGACCCTGGACGAGGCCGCGGCCCTCCTAGAGGTGAAGAGCCGGCTACGACCGCCCCACTCACGAGCACTTTAAAGTGGAAAGAACCTCCACTCCCCACCCGCCCTGCCCTTCCAGCGCCTTGCAGAAGGTCTGCAGTGGTGCTGGGCCAGGGAGGCGTCGGTCCCTCCAAGACCACTCGTGATGGAGAGAGCTCTACCAACGAACCCCTCCCGCTGGACCGTACGTACTTTGTAGGTAAGATCAGTATGTGTTAGGCACCTCTTGCCAACCGTACCTGTATGTACCGTAGGTGTTATACAAAGGCAGAGACACCCCAGAGCAGTGCCATCAGGAAAGTGTGTCAATTCAGGGTCCTAGGTTGCTGGTCCTTGCCTGCCTCGGGTGTCGACTTTCTGACAGGACTGAAAATCAATGCCTATTCCTTTCAAATTCAGTTGCACAAAAATAAAGCTTGTCTTTTTCTCTTCTCACCCTTCCTTTGTTCTGTCTCTCGGATACCTGTGGCTGCATTAGCATTTGGTCCAACCTCTCTACAATATTTCATCCCGTCTCACCCTGAGAGCGATCATCACTCTCCCGACTCTACGATCTACACTTTGTCCGAGAAGCCTTTCTTACTCGTCCATACTGAGTCGGACTAATATCCCAGAGATCTGGTCCAGCAACAACACCTACAACGATTTCAGCCCATTCGCAGTCTCCCCAACCGTAGCTCGTCTCTTGCTCATGACAAGCCGACCAAACCGTCTCGACACACCCTTCAAAGTCTAATCCCGTCTCCGTCGACGCTGCACCCAGAGAAGCTAGATCCTGGGCCACGCATTGCCCGACCTTTACGGCACTTTTCCCCCTCTGCGCCATGCCAATTCCCAGTCGACCGTCACTTGTCGATTCATAGTACATCAACTCCACTGACCACCTGCATTCGCCTCGCCTTGACGAGGCCGAGACCGACGGCACCCTGTCCATTCTTTTGCATCAAGCCATTGCAATCACAACTTGCAACTTTCAATACTCACTCTTTGACTGTACAGCCGTCGCGACGCATTAACGATTTGTTCATAAATCAAGTCGCTCTGAAAGGCGTTCAATCTCCATGCCTTATAACGCAGCACCGACATGAGCCCTCCTGCACAACCTCGTGACAGCAGCCAAACCCGAGCTATTAGGCTCGCTGGAGCTGTCCACGATGCTGGCTTCCCATTGAATCGCTCCGAACCTCATCATAACCATATTCAAGCTCCTGTTCCAACCGCATTTGATCATGCGCGACCGAGAGCTACCTTCGACCTAGTGAACGATGTTAAAAGCCAAGATGCTACTCCGCGACCGTTCACCGGAGGACGTTTCCTCAGGGACTTGGGTGATACCTCCCGCTCACCTACACATAGTCCTTTCCGCTTGACAATGCCAAGCATGTCTCCTGGCCAGCTCGCATTTTCGGCTATGCAATACCTACCTGTACCTACCATGGTTCTCAATAATCTGAAAACGGTTGTCTTGGCAAACGAAGCCATGGGCCGAATGTTGGGGATTATTACAGAAGATTCAGAAGATGACGACGCTCTCCCTACTATCGAAAACCTACGGGGCCAGACACTTTCCCAGGTTGGTGTTGATATTCTTCAAGACGGACAGCCTGTATGGGCAACATGGGAGGCATTTCTCGATTCTCAAGTAGAGGAAATGGGCGTGCGAACTGCAGCAAAAGATTCGCGGCGGCCTTCCCAGTCCGGAGACGATGCCACACCCACCACGACCACGATGCCTATCCCTGATAGGCGCCCAAGTCCGGCCTCTCGCAAACCTCAGGATTCTGTGGTTGAGGTTGTGATTACACGTAAAGGAGTCATCAAACCAAAGTTTGACAATCTCTTCAACCCCAAAGAAACCGACACCCAAATCTATGCCAAAATGATCATCACTATATGGGAGCTCGAAGACCATCAGATCTTCTTCACACTTACATTTACCAGCACAGAATCCCCACCGTCAACCCTTCACAACCATAAAAGAGTAGTTGCGAGACCGAGTATTCTTGAAGCTGCCGAGCGCAAATCCATCACCCACTCGAATCCACCTTCAGTTGCGTCAAGTCGAGATTCCAACTCGCCTTCGTTTCACAGCCCAGGAATCGTCACTATGTCCTCCAGCCCTTTCCCACCGATGGGCCCACCGTCTGCGGCGACTCACTCAAGCACACCATCACTTCTGCAAAAAATGTTGCTGATGAAGGACGCCCTTCTGAACAATACTCAAATGCCTATTCTTGCGATGTGGAAGGATGGCAGTGTCACATTTCCAAACACTGCGGCCCGGAAGCTCTTTGAGAAAGAGGCACCGCTTGACACGTCTCTAAATGGGTTCGAACTCATGCAATACTGGCATATTTACAACGAGGACTTTTCAGGGCGTCTTGAAATCGAACAAACGCCTATATGCAAGCTGCTAAAGACTGAGATGCCTTTCACTGGATTTAGAGTCGGCATGTATGATGAGAACAGAAGCAGGCGAGTATATGATATACTAGGTGAGGCAATCCGTGACGATTCCACAGGTGAGTTTCTTGCAGGTGTTGTCACAGGACGCGATGTCACGGTCATGACGGAGGAAATCACGCAGATCAAGGAGCGAGATGAGGAAAGATTCAAGTTAATTTGTGATACCATGCCTCAGCTGGTTTGGACGGCGACACCCGACGGTCTGGTCGACTTCTGGAACACGCGGTTCTACTCTTATACCGGCTTATCCCCAGAGGACAGCCTTGGCAAATCATGGGTGAATGCTTTCCACCCGGACGATTTGCCCGAGGCTGAAAAGAGATGGAAACACTCGCTTGAAACGGGTGACAGTTACGTGACGGAATATCGTTGCCAAAGTAAAGAGGGCGAATGGCGTTGGTATCTTGGTCGAGCGCTGCCTCAGCGTAACAAAGAAACTGGAAAGGTCGAGAAGTGGTTTGGTAGGTGTTTCCACTCACTAACTGAGGATTGACATGTAACTCACAACGCACTGTAGGAACTTGCACAGATGTCCACGAGAGCATTCAGACAAAGATGGCTATGAAACGTACCCGACAGCAGCTTCTCAGCGTTATTGCCCACTCCCATGTGACAATCTTCACCGTCGACCCGAACCGAAGAGTCACGATGCTAGAAGGTGCCTTGATATGGAACAATACCCACGAGGAGAGCCATGATGGAACAAGATGGTTCGTTGGCGAGGACATGTACACCGTGTTCAATCGCTTGACTGCACAACTGGCAGACGGGGAACGCCCAGAGTTTCTCGAACCCATCGAGTTACTTCTTGATGGCAAAGCTACCGAAGATGTCAAGGAACACGGCATTGGTAAGACCTGAGTGCCCAGTGAGAGCCTGAAATGACCCACTAACCTGAAGAAGATGATCGTTGGTACCGCACTCGTTTCCTTACGATGGTTGGGAAAAGGGCACAGGAAGGAGACTCCCGGCACAACACATACGTGGAAGGAGTCATTGGCGTTATAATGGATGTGACTGAGTTGAAGATCCGCGAAAAAGCACTGGAGAAGCAATCAAAAGAAAAGCGAAAGGCGATGGCAAACGAAGCAGCCGCCAAGGAAGCTAACAGGCTGAAGAGTCAGTTTCTCGCCAACATGTCCCACGAAATTCGAACACCAATCACAGGAGTGTTGGGAATGGCTGAGCTACTGATGGGAATGGAGTTGGACCAGGAGCAGCAAGAATATGTCGAAAACATTCAGAGCTCAGCGACCTCTCTCCTCACCGTTATTAACGATATCCTAGACTTTTCCAAGGTAGAGTCTGGACGACTAGATATCGAGGAGGTACAATTTTCCTTGTCGCATATCGTCAAGGAAGTAGGCAGGATGTTGCAGTTCGCCGTTGAACGAAAGAACCTCGACTTTCAGTCAGACGTTGACGATGGAATTGAAAATGACCTGGTCGTCATCGGAGATCCTGGTCGTGTACGGCAAATTCTCACCAATCTCCTTACAAACAGTATAAAATTCACGAATCAAGGATACGTCAGATTCTCGGTTGTTGCCGAGAAGGAGACATCAGAAACTATTGAAGTCAAATTCACTGTGGAGGATTCAGGTATCGGTATTCAGGATGATGTTCGCAAGAAATTGTTCCAGCCTTTCAGCCAAGGCGACGCCTCGACTGCCCGGAGATTCGGTGGCACTGGATTGGGCCTGACAATTTGCAAGAATCTTCTGGATCTCATGCATGGTCGTATTACACTGGAGTCGAAGGTTGGTGTTGGAACTCGGGCCACCTTTTGGGTTCCTTTCAACAAGCCAAGCGGCCCGGCAGAAGCTGGTCTTGCCAACGCTGGTGCTATCCCTGATCGGCTTCAATCCGAATTGAGCTTGTCTTGCAACAGCTCGGAATATGACCAGATCATTGGCACCCCTCCAGTATTTGAAGGAATCCAGGGAAACAGTTCAGGATCTCGCCGTACTCGTTTCGGCATAACGTCAACTTCGAGCCCTGATCAAGAACTTCCATCATCCGAGAGAGCCAAGATTCATGTGTTGGTGGTCGAGGACAAGTGAGTTATATATAAATCCGTATAATACAACTTAGCTAACTAGCCGCAGCCCTATCAATCAGAAGATTGCTACCAAAACGATTGGCAGGCTTGGGTTCCAGGTAACAGCTGCTTGGAACGGCAAAGAAGCTTTGGAATACCTCGCTGGTGTTCAGAAGGGCATCAATCAGAAGCCGGATATTATACTTATGGATGTACAGATGCCCATCATTGATGGCTACAAGTGCACTCACCTTTTGAGACATCATATGCCGTACAAGCCCCTGGTCCAAGATGTGCCAATTGTGGCCATGACAGCATCGGCAATTCAGGGCGATCGCGAAAAGTGTACTAAAGCTGGCATGGATGATTACTTGGCCAAGCCGGTTCGGGGCGTAATCCTGGAAAAGATGCTTATACGATGGTGCCACGCACGCCGTCGAGTACCAACAGCACCAGATCCCTCCGCTTCAGACTGTTCGGAGATGAGTGAGCATTGTGACAACGCCGACATTCCTAATGTTGGAATTGACGACGACGACGACGCGCCACGTGGACTCGATGATTTCAACGGCAGCCCTATCACGCCTCGCCCGTTAACGACTAATGGGTACCAAAATGAGCCGTCTCCTTTTGATTCTACAGAGCTATCACTTCAAGTTCGGCGTCAAGAAGGAGAGACAGAGTGGTCTAACAAGCTCCAAGAAACAAAACTCATCGACGCGGCCGGTGGACCATCGAGCTACCGCAGGAATTCATATCATGAACTGCAGACAGGGGACTCGTTGACGGAGGAGAATGTCAACAAACTAAGGAGCGAGAATCAGTCGACAACACGCCGATAAGTGCGTGGAGCCACTAGTGGTACTCGGGAGCCGCCGACCGATTGGTTCAGCAGACCCAAAGTTATGAAGACACACTTTGTATTCGATCGTCGATGTATCCTCCCCCGACGGGGACATTTATTCCCACATGTACAGATCCCATTTAGCGTGGAGACATCCTTTTCTTTCTTTCTTTCTTTCTTTCTTTCTTTCTTTCTTTCTTTTACCGCTTCTTTCGGCTACGGCATTTGCGGCAAAAAAGCGTACATGCATCAATACAGACGGTGGGAATGGCGTTGAGACGGGTTGTCGCTCACATTTTCGTGTGCGGAAGAACTGCGGCAGAGAGCATAAAACGGACCAAACGTTGACTTGTCTTTTTTATTCCCTTGGTGCGTGTTTGGTCTTTGGGCAATTATAGACGGTGTCCATCACTCTGGCAAAAACGGAAGCGGGAGGATTTTTCTTTTCTTCGCCTATGGAAGAAACATATATTCTATTGCAGGGTGGGGAAACACTTCACTTGCAAAAAGATAAGGAATGAGGGATTGTGTTTTAATAACGACGCGGTAGGAATGATGAATAATGGGATTGATGGATGATATACCTTTATTTTATTTTAATTTTGACCAAGTATTTGAAATATTGGAAGATGCTATAAAGGACGAATTTCGCCCTGATAACCCAATCACTCCTCGCTCGCTATGTCCTTGTAATAGAAAGGCATTGTGTTGATGCTTTGCTTTTTTCCTCAATCGTGAGTATGGTGAATCATGCATGTTTTCACCGACGCATGTCGTCGATTAATGCCCAACAAGAACATCTCGGCTTGTCGCCTATTCATTGTGGCCTGGATCTGAATTAGACCTCAGTCTCGATTCCAGGCTGCTTAGTTCGGTGCTCAAAGACGCTAGAGGCTTTGTCTCCAACACGTTCAAACTTGCCCTTGATCCACTTTGCTGTACGCGGGGCCTAGATTCATCTGTTAGTTCCACTCTTGTACTTTGATGGTGTTGAAGTTGCATAAGCTGCCTAGAAGAGAGAGAGGGGCGGGAAATAGAGGCATGGGAAACACGTGGAATCATATGAAATGGGGGGTCGGGAGCTTACCTTCCACTGCATTAGACCCCGATGCTGGCGATGTAGCCGCTTGTCTCGACGACGGTAGTCGCGCAACTGGTCTATAGGGCCCTGCTTTTGTGAGCTGCTACCATTAGGAACACTGGACTCCTGCTCATCGTCGTTCTCTGTATCCGAGGAGCTTGAGCTGGAATCAGAATTGCTGCCTATAGAACCTGAACGGTAACGACGGCCAGATTGCTCATCATCATCGTCAGACCCTACAATGCCAACCTTCTTCTCCTGGCTGCCTACTTCGAGATTATCGTGAGCCATTTCGATCACTTCCACAACATTCTTGAGATGCGGGTCGCGACTCGCCCATCGAGAATGGGCACTTCCCTGTTTATGTGTTAACAAAATTTCGTCTTCCATCTTTTGCGAAGTTGAAAGGGGACATACCAGACCGGACCAATATGTAAGTTTCAATTTGATCGTGCCCAGTCTCTCGCCACAGTCTTCCAAGCAGCAAGACGTGGCACGCTGGAAATCGCCTTTCCAAATCGGCAATTCCAACTCTGTCTCTTCCTCGTCAACAATATCCTTTAGCCACAAAACAGCAAAGGCAGCAGTGTCGTCTCCAAAGAAGCCCTTCTCTCGGAAAGCAATGGACATGCAGCTGCTGTATCTCGAGGCGACGGCCAAAGCAAGTGATTTACCTCGCTTTGACTTCCAAGTGACTGTTGCTTGATTCTCCTCGTTGTCATCGGTGTACATTTTCGCATTGCTGATGCTGGTTCGGAATTTGAGTTTGGATGAACGAAGATCCTTGGGACAGTCTACAACTGTGGCAGTAGGATTTACTTCAACAGTACCGTACTGCCACCCCAAAAGGCTTTTTGGAGCCTGGAGTTGAACACTGCGAAATACCATGGAGATACGAACACGTCCAAAACCAACACCACCAGTTAAAGGCCAGAAACTCATAACCTGCGAACGCTCACGGAATACTTCTGCAAGTGGGAGATGAATGATACCCAGCAGAGGGTCGTCCTCCTTCAAACGAGCGTCACGGACGGTAACAAAAACTTCTGCATCCTGCCAATCACGAATAAATCTTTCACAACCAGCATTGTAGAAAGGTTTGGCGTTCTGAGGTTTGGTTCTCGTCTTGAAGATCTTGCGATGATTGAGGATGACAGTGCAATATGCGCTTGGCAAACCTTCACCGGTTTCCTCTTCGTCAGTCGCTTCAGCATCGTTTGAAGCCTTGCGCTTATTGAGTCGCTCCAACTCGAGTCCTGTGATGTTGTGGACTTGGATACTGAGTATCCCGCTCGGATAACCTTCAGGAGGGGGCGCTGAAATGATCATGGCGTCTTGTTCGGCCTTCAGTTCCTGGGCTGTCTGCTGCTCAAGTTCGCTAGCGTCGCGCTCCTTCTTGCCCTCCTTAAACATTGTCTCGCGGAGCTTACGCTCGCTCGATTCTCTGACATTTTCCTTGAGTTGATCCATGTTTCGGATTTCGGGATTGTGAGTCTGCTTCTCGAACTGGCATTGCTGAATCCTGGTCTTGGAGTAATAACCGACACTCCACTCCAATTTTCCTGGCATGTCATCGCCCGACTTCAAAGCTCGGAAGCCATCTTCCCTGTGCCACATCTTTCCGTTGGATCGATCGTCCTTCATCAGCTCCTTCACCGGTATTTCAATCCGGCCAAGGTCGTCATCCGCAGTTAGTCTATCGGAGTCCCATAGTTGTATACGCAGTCTTTCGTCGATATTGAGTTCTTGCGGCGACACAAGTATAAAGCAGGTCTCGTCCCAGCAAGGCTCCATTTCGTTCTCCAAAACTCGAGTTGACCACATCACCTTGCCAAACTTGGCCCAACCGACTGAAACGTAGCCATCGGAGCTTCCTTCCTTGATGAGTGGAATACCAGAGTCGCCCATTTTAAAGTCGTAGCCGCGCTTGATATTGACCACCAACACACCCACTGCGGTGGTGTCTTTCTTAAAATCGTCGCCAGCAAGCATGTCTTTCAGATCGAGTGTTAGACTCTTGGGCGCAACGTACTCAGCCATGGCGGCGTCGACAGAGGATTGAACAAAGTTGCTAATAAACGGAACATCCATAATGTTAATGGCGTGCTTGCTCAGGGGTACACAGCTCACGTTGACTTTTGGCTGACCGAGGAACGTAAGCGTGCATAAGGCGAAGAAAGGAGGGTCAGGAGTTAGTTGGAGTCGCATACGCATGGTGCCAATAATTCCTTGGAGGTCGACCCAGACCGGGACCTTGATGTTACCCGGAAGATAGAAGGCAAGATACAAGTGCATATCCTTGGTTCTCTCCTTGAGGGACTTGGATGATGATCGTGTGCGGTAGGCGAATGCTACTTCAAGGTTGACAAAATCTCCTTCCTCGGCCTCCATACCATCCTGAACAGAAACACCGCTATCGCTGTTCTCATCGTCTTTCTCTTGGGTATCATTTTCACTCTGTTCTCTAGTCATGAGCTGCCCATCTTCGCCAACTGCTCGGGCTGCGGCTCCAGTAGGGAGCCATCGGACGCCAAGAATGCGGACAGACTCGCTTCCTTGACCGATGTCATCAACACTAACCATTCGAACAAACTTGGGAAGCGAGGCTTGCATAACATCTTCCAAGGTGTCTGCGAGGCTAGCAAAGAGATCGGGGTTGATAAGTGGCCAGACAGAGCCGATCAGAGAGTTGAGCCAAACAGTTGTCTCGGTATCGTTCTGCTTGGAGGCCTTTACAATACCCCTTCGGTGGGCATCCCAGACTTCGTCATGGAAGATGTTGTTTACCTTGTTGGAGATCCACTCTCGAACAGATACAACAAGGAACCAGATGGCACCAACACTGGCTGCAGCCAACGCCAACCAGAGAGAACCCCCTACAACAAAGGAGCTGACCTTTTCACCTTGCAACAGCCCTTCTCGCAAAAGTCTTTCGAAGGCGAAGGCACTGGAAACAATTATCGCAACGCCAGTAAGGCCAAACGTGACGCCACGCTTGTTGATGGCTGCGAGTTCAAGACGGAGGGCATCGAAATCCGGCGGGGGAAACAAGTCGCCCATGGCGTCGTGACTTTGCTGAACCTCTCGCTGCTCGTGACCAAGCTGCTCGTCCGACTTTGACTTATTTCCTGCGCCAGTTGCTGTTCTCTGTGTCGTACCAAAAGTAGGGTCATTCACACCTACATTTTCGAGGGCGTCATCGGTAAAATCGTGAATGGTGACGGGAAGATGGGTGACAGGGTCAGTGACTTCTCGCTCTGCCCTCTCTCGTTTGCTCTTTTTGAGCTCCTTCCTTCTCTGTTTGGGATCCGATGCATAGGCATCAACCTGTGAAGTGTCTTGCATTCCTTCATTTTCTTGCTTGTCGTTATCTTCCCTCCTTTCCTCTATATCATCCTCACGGGTCTTGACTGATTCCAGGTTGGCTCCGGCGTCTTCCCTTGACTTTTGATGTAGTTGGTAGTCGTCATTGGATTCGGAATAATCTCCAGCTTTTGGTGAAGAACCCTGCCTGTCTTCAGCTGCGTCTTGACGAGCAGTTCTTTCTTCACGATACTTGGAGATGGTAGGAATAGGGTGTTTGGCGCTGTATGGGGTAGTGAAGCGACGACGCTCTTCGGCGTCATCTCTTCCAGACATGACGGGTCACGGAAAGCGTTGGTTTAATTGGAACAGTAACGACAGATTAATAATAGTGCAAGGACAAGGAATTGGCGACTGGGTATTTTCTGGGCGATTAAAAGCTTAGTTTTGATGCAGAAGAAGAAGAAATTAAGATATTATTAGGTGAATACGTAGAAAGGTAATTGTCATGACATTAAGACAGGGTAAGTAAGTACTGTCTGCTAGTTGAGATGTTGTTTGGTACTACGTCATCGGCCAGCAAAGGACCTTGCCGATGTTTCCATCTTGGCGTT